GCAGTGGCGCTAACTGAACGGGAGAGGCCCTCGGTTGAAAAAAGGTGGCTTGGTGAGAAACCGAGAGGGCGGATTAGAACGGGAGGGTGTCCATCTCACAGCGAGGCCATGGACGGAGGTACCCCCACCTCTGTGACGAAGCCTGCTGTGTCCATTTCCCAGGAGGAGGGGCCATGGCTCAGTGGTAGAGCATCTGCCCAGCATGCAGAAGGTCCCAGGTTCAATACCCCCCATCTCTAGTTTGGAGGACCAGGCAGTAGGGGATGGGAAAGACCTCTACCTGAGACCCTGGCTCAGTGGTAGAGCATCTGCTGAGCATGCAGAAGGTCCCAGGTTCAATCCCCGGCATCTCCAGGAGTAGGAGATGGGAAACACCTCTGCTGAGAGAGGTGCTGAATATTTACAATACTGATCTTGATGCAGAGAGGTTGTGGCTCAGTGGAAGAGTCTCTGCTCTGCGTGCAGACGGCCGCAGGTTCAATCCCTGGCATCTCCAGTTGTAGGGGATGTGAAAGACCTCTGCTGAGACCCTGGAGAGGTGCTGCCAGTCTGAGTAGACAATAGTGACCTTGACGGACCAAGGGTCTCGTTCAGTATAGGGCAACTTTATGTGTTCAGTTATTGAGGAAGGGCCATGGCTCAGAGGTAGAGCATTTGTTTGGCATGCAGAAGGTCCCAGGTTCGATCCTTGGCATCTCCAGTTAAAAGGACCAGGCAGTAGGTGATGGGAAAGATCCTGGCTCAGTGGTAGAGCATCTGCTTGGCGTGCAGAAGGTCCCAGGTTCAGTCACCGGCATCTCCAGTTAAAAAGGATCAGGCAGTAGGCAGTGGGAAAGACCCTGGCTCAGTGGTAGAGCATCTGTTTGGTGTGCAGAAGGTCCCGGGTTCGATCCCCGGCATCTCCAGTTAAAAGGACCAGGCAGTAGGCGATGGGAAAGACCCTGGCTCAATGGTAGAGCCTCCGCTTGGCATACAGAAGGTCCCAGGTTCAATCCCAAGCATCTCCAGCTAAAAAGGATCAGGCAGTAGGTGATGGGAAAGACCTCCGCCTGAGACCCTAGAGAGCTGCTGCCAGCCTGAGCAGACAATACTGACCTTAAAGGACCAATGGTCTGACTGAATATGAGGCAACGTCCTGTGTTGAAGAGTTCGTGTGAGTTTCTTGATTAAGGACCTGAATTGTTGAGTTCATCATTACCAATATTGGATCCCCACGTGATTGGATAATGTACTATCATAATCATTCACCCCCCTGGAAGATTGTTTCAGAGAGCAGCCCTGTTGCTCTGTGGTAGAACAGTCGGATTCGAATCCAGGACCACCTTAGAGATGGACAAGCTTTCAAGAGTTAGAGTTTTAACTCTCAGAAGCTCATCGCTTGAAAATCCTGTTTGGTCGCTGAGGTGCTGCTTAGAGTTTCCAGCTCTGTATTAGGAAATAATTTGGGATTGGGGGGTGGAGCCTGGGGGGCGGAGTTTGGGAATGGGAGGGACTTCGGTAGGGTGCATGGCCATAGAGTCCACCCTCCAAAGCAGCCATTTTTCTCCAGGGGAAATGATCTGTAATGTCTAGTGATTCATTGCAAGAGCGGGAGATCTCCAGGCCCCAACCGAAGCACTTCTTGCACTTTGACTTGAGACCGGCAGCAACTTTGCGCAAGGAAACAGTACGTCGGTGATTTTTTCCCCCTTTGGAGCAGAAGACAGAGAGTTCCATCTTTGTGAAGAAGCCTTTGGCGGAACGCAGCTTGTTATCACTTTGGTGTAGTGGTTAGGCGTGCAGACTCAAATCTGGGAGAACCGGGTTTGATTCCTCACTCCTCCACTTGCACCTGCTGGATGACCTTGGGCAAGCCACCGCTTTCTCAGAGCTGTTCTCACAAGAGCAGTCCTCGCAAGAGCTTTCACAGCCACACCTACCTCACAGGGTGTCTGTTGTGGGGAGGGAAGGGAAAGGAGATTGTGAGCCACTCTGAGACTCCAAGTGAAGGGCGGGGTATAAATCCAATCTCTTCTCTTCTTCGTCTTCCTTGTGTTCCAGAGCCAGTTTGGTGTAGTGGTTAGGAGCACAGACTCTAATCTGGGAGAACTTGGTTTGATTCCCCACTGCTCCACATGCACCTGCTGGTGTGACCTTGGGTCAGTCACAAGTTCTCTCAGAGCTGTTCTCTCAGGAACAGACCTAGAGAGAGCTCTCTCGGCCTCACCTACCTCACAGGGTGTCTGTTGTGGGGAGGGGAAGGGAAAGGAGATTGTGAGCCACTCTGAGACTCCAAGTGAAGGGCGGGTTATAAATCCAATCTCTTCTCTTCTTCTTCTTCCTTATGTTCCAGAGCCAGTTTGGTGTAGCGGTTAGGAGCACGGACTCTAATCTGGGAGAACTTGGTTTGATTCCCCACTGCTCCACATGCACCTGCTGGTGTGACCTTGGGTCAGTCACAAGTTCTCTCAGAGCTGTTCTCTCAGGAACAGACCTAGAGAGAGCTCTCTCGGCCTCACCTACCACACAGGGTGTCTATTGTGGGGAGGGGAAGGGAAAGGAGATTGTGAGCCACTCTGAGACTCCAAGTGAAGGGCGGGGTATAAATCCAATCTCTTCTCTTCTTCTTCTTCCTTGTGTTCCAGAGCCAGTTTGGTGTAGCAGTTAGGAGCGCGGACTCTAAACTGGGAGAACTTGGTTTGATTCCCCACTGCTCCACATGTACCTGCTGGTGTGACCTTGGGTCAGTCACAAGTTCTCTCAGAGCTGTTCTCTCAGGAACAGACCTAGAGAGAGCTCTCTCGGCCTCACCTACCTCACAGGGTGTCTGTTGTGGGGAGGGGAAGGGAAAGGAGATTGTGAGCCGCTCTGAGACGTCTTCGGGTAGTGAAGGGCGGGGTATAAATCCAATCTCCTCCTCCTCCTGTCAGAGGGAATGAAGAAACCGCCTTCCCCCTACAACATGCTCCAAACACAAATGAGGTCCCCGTGCAGCTGCTGTCTAACCACAGAACTCCATGCATATTACATAGTTTGACCTTCCGCGAGGAACGGCACCCTCTGCTGATAATATATATTGTAAAAACTCTCCTTTCCCTGAGCGGCTTCTGTTTGCTCTGACCCAGAGAGGAGAAGCCAGAGGCATTGTTAGGAAAACTAAACTGTTCCTCGGGAGGAAGGAGGACTCCGCGGGGGGAAGCGGTAATGAGGCACGGAGACCTCGCCGCTCAGGGAGCCGTGTGTAAAGTGGGAGGGAGAGCCGAGCAAAGAAAGTGCATTTGGAACCGGCTTTCTGTAGGAAAAGGGGTGGAGCAAACCCCTGGAATTGTGGCCTAAATAGAACCCTGGCTTCTGAGGATCCCTGTGTTGCAGGGATGCCAGCCTCCAGGTGGGACCTGGAGATCCCCTGGAATCACAGCTCATCTTCCTCCTGACCTTCTTCTTCACACAGAGAGTGATTAAAATGTGGGATTTGCTGCCAGAGGATGTAGTGAGGGCCAGAGGTGTAGACAGCTTGAGAAGGGGATTAGATAGAATCAGGGAGGAGAAGTCTATCAGTGGCCACTAGCCATGGTGGCTGAGGGGAACCTCCACATTCAGAAGCACTAAGCCTCTGAATCCCAGAGCCAGGAGGCCTCGGCCTCTGTGCCCTCTTGTTGGCCCTCCAGAGGAACTGGTTGGCCCCTGTGTGAGACAGGACGCTGGACTATATGGACCCCTGGTCTGATCCAGCAGGGCTCTTCTGAGGTTCTTGTGAAGGCCTCATCTTCTATGCCCTGTTGCTGGACCTCTAGAGGAACTGGTTGGCCACTATGAGAGACAGGATGCTGGACTAGATGGACCCCTGGTCTGATCCAGCAGGGCTCTTCTGAGGTTCTTGTGAAGGCCTCATCTTCTATGCCCTGTTGCTGGACCTCTAGAGGAACTGGTTGGCCACTATGAGAGACAGGATGCTGGACTAGATGGACCCCTGGTCTGATCCAGCAGGGCTCTTATGTTCTTATGAAGGCCTCTCAGCTCTTTACCCTGTTGTCGGCCCTCCAGAGGAACTGGTTGACCACTGTGTAGGGCAGGGTGCTGGAGTGGATGGACTATTCTTCTGATCCAGCAGGGCTCTTCTGATGTTTTTATAAAGGCCTCGGCTTCTGTGCCCTGTTGTTGGCTGTTCAGAGGAACTGGTTGGCCCCTGTGTGAGACAGGACGCTGGACTGGATGGACCACTGGCCTGATCCAGCAGGACTCTTCTTATGTTCCAATGAAGGCCTTGGCCTCCCTGCCCCTGTTGTTGGCCGTTCAGAGGAACTGGCTGGCCACTGTGTGAGGCCGGATGCTGGACTAGACGGGCCATTGGTCTGATCCAGCAGGACTCTTCATGTGTTCTAATGAAGATCTCGGCCCCTGTGCCCTGTTGTTGGCCATCTAGAGGAACGGGTTGGCCACTGTGTGAGACAGGAGGCTGGACTAGATGGACCACGGCTCTGATCCAGCTGGGATCTTCTTTATTTACTTATTTAATTTATTTAACCTTCAATTTAATATCCCACTCGAATCCCTTGGTAGGGGTCTCTGAGCGGCTTACAGGTTTGGTGGTGCTAGTCACCATTTTCCCTAACTAGGGCCACAGTGTATACGGGGATGGGACAGCCTACCGGCACCCCCCTATGGTGGTTGTTGTTGTCGTTGTCGTTTTCTTTTTATGGTGGTGGTGGTTGTCGTTTTCTTTATTCTGCTGTTCTTATGCACGGAGTTCAGCTTCCCTGGTGAAAATGGCTGCTTTGGAGGGCGGAATCTATAGCACTGTACCCCACCGAGGTCCCTGTCCTTCACAGGATCCATCCCCAAACCTCCAGGAGTTTCCCAACCTGGATCTGGCAACCCAACCCCCCAACCCCTGCTGGTGGCCGGAGCAGACCTGACAACCCTTCTACTTGGGGGAGGGGGAAGCAGCCAAGGAACAATAATCATCCTCCGTCTCCTCTTGGCTGGCAGGTGCGATCCCGACTCCGGCCCCAAACGAGTACTACGTGGAGAAGATACACCCTCCGGAAGAGCCCAACGCTCCGTCGTACACCATCGGCTTCCGCACCCGCTATTGGGAGAGCAGCCCGTACCCGGCTCCTAACAAATACACCCTCCCCAAGACGCTGGGCCCCAGGCTCCCCGTCAAAGAATCGGCCCCCTGCCTCTCCATGGCTTCCAGCGCTTCCGTGTGGGGCTATGCCACCGACCGGGTCAAAGGGCCCGGCCCGGCGGCCCACACCTTGCCCCACCCCGATTTCTACCTGTACTGCCAGCCGTCCTACAGCATGTCCCAGCGGCTCCAGGCCTCCAGCAAGGAGCACACACCGGGCCCCCCGGACTACAACGCCGAGCGGGTCACCTTGCACAAGCCCAGGGCTCCGCGCTTCAGCTTGGGGATCCGCCACTCCGAATATGCCCACGGCACTCCTCCGGTGTGCATCATCAAGGAATGAATCGGGGAGGCCCTGTTCCGCTGGAGCACCAGCGGCCCGACACAGAGGCCTTGCGCTGAACGCTTAATCCATTTGGAAGAGACTCTTGTCCCCTTCGCTAGGGTACGATCTCTGCCAAGGCGAGGTTCGTGTAGGAGTCAATGAGATCTCCTTTGGCCTGCCAGCTTATGACGTTGCTCATGTTCCCGGTTCTTGCCTTTGTCCTTCTTCACCTTTCTGACTTACCCTGCTAATATCTATCTATACATACATAAATATATATATTAAAGAATTATTTTTGACACCTCATGTTGGAAATGGCTTCTGAATCAACAGAACCCCTTTGGTATTTATTTATTTATAAATCCAATTTACAGCCCTCCCTCCCCGCTGCGCGGGCTCAGGGCGGCTCACAATTAGGGATAGTGTGTTGCACCGCTGGATTAAATGGCAATAAAACCCAATAGCTGCTGGCCTGGAGGGTGGACTCTGTGGCATTAGACATGACCAGGGGTCATTTCCTGCGGGAGCGCACAGGAGCGTAGCTCCGGCAGTAAAGAGCCCAGGGGGTGGGCACATGCAACAAGCCCCAGCCCCTGCTCCCAGCAGCCCTCAGTCAGAGCAAGAAGCAGCCAGGTAAGTTGCAGAGCTTTCCCCGGCCCCTGGTCCAAAACAGTCCAGTGGCACCTTTAAGACCAAGTTTTATTCAGGTACCAGCTCTCCCTCCTCTGCGAGGACAGATCTGCACGTTCCCCCCCCCCCAATAGCTAGCAATCCAAAACAGTCCAGTGGAGCCTGAGCGGTGGGTGTGGCCTTCTGACACACTCCCGGTGATGCCAGGGGGTGTGGCATATGCAAATAGGTTATGCTAATGAGTCATGCTAATGAGCTCCTGCACCTCTTTTTCTACGAAATGACCCCCGGGTATAATACCATAGAATCTACCTTCTGAAGTGACCATTTTTTCTCCAGGTGACCTGATCTCTGCATCCTGGAGACCAATCAGGCTTCCCAAGTACTTACCGTGATTTCAGCGGGGGACACAGACGTCCTCGCAGGTACATTCCCGCGGGGACAACAGACGCGCCGCACCATGCCGTTGCCAGGAAGTGACGCCGGGCGACGCTCTGGCCATGGAGCTGGAAACTCAATGGTACCATCGAGATTTCAGTCCCATTGCCAGAGCGTCACTCGGCATCACTTCCTGGCGACGGCATGGTGCGTTACCAGGAGGAATGGTCCGGCCGGGGAGCATGTTTCCCCCGCTGGATCACGGTAAGTACTTGGGAACCCTACGATCAGTGGGAATAGCAACTCTCCAGCCACCACCTGGAGGCTGGCAACCCTGAAAAGGTTCAGTCGTGTGACAGGAAGTCAGCTTCAGTCACCGAGTAGCAGCTGCTGTCCAGCAGATGGCAGCATTGCACTGCATTTCCCACAGATCTCCCAGAAATGGCCGTCTCGTGCGCATTGTGTTTCTTGTGGCCTGTAGGCGGCAGTAATGCCACACAGAATGGGAGGCACTGCATGGCACCGCCAAGCAAGAAAAGAGGTATCTTATGCAACATATATGTCAGTGATGGAGAACCTTTCAGAGATGGAGTGCCCAAACTGCGACCCCAAACCCACGTATTTATCGCAAGGTGCCAACACGGGAATTTAGTTTAGAAAAAACAACCCATACATTAACTTAAGATGGTCCAAACAAAGTCAGGAAAGCCATCCCAAATGCTTTCATTTACTTGAAATTATTTGGCAGAGAATTCGACACTTTAATGGTGGTCTGGGCCTGGCTGGGGCGATGGCACGTGTGCCCACAGAGAGAGCTCTGAGTGCCACAGGTTCGGCACCACTGATATATGTCTTGCGTGGGCATGCACAGCCAAAGCATTATTTCTCTAGGCCCGTACAAATGATCTCTGCAGGAGGAGGAGACAGCCACAAAAGAGCTGCTACGGCTTACCTGCAGCCGAAGAGCGGATGGAGGCTCACGGGTGCCCTCAGCACTGACCAATCTTGGTGCCCCCCCCTCCTTTCCACACTGACCCCCAGTCCATTTTAGTCGTTGACCTGTCGGACCAGATAGGCAATGCAGGTTGCAGCAATACAGAAATTGATTCATACGATGACACAATATACTGTACAAACTAAGCTTTTCACCCTTTTCCCAACTTTGTGGTGCTCCCTTTGGCCTTGGCGCCCTAAGCACGTGCTTAGTGGGCTTCATGGTTCATCCGTTCCTGCTGCAGCCACACAGTGGAGATCCTTCTGCTGTGGGGGCAGCTGCCGCCAAAGCAATGCTTTTTGTGAAACCTGCAGAGCCGATCAAATCTCTAATGGCCAATTGGAAGCCTTGCTCGGCCAAAGCCCCACCTCAAATCATAGAATCATAGAGTTGGAAGCGATCTTCAGGGTCATCTAGTCCAACCCCCTGCACAGGGGTCGTTTCGGAGAAAAAGAGCTAGGGGAACTCATTAGCATAACTCATTAGCATATGCCACACCCCCTGACATCATAAGGCCCAGCAGTGGACCTGCAAGGCTGGCAGGAGTGTGAGGAAGCCCCGCCAAGGCCCTCCCTGGCCCCAGGCAGGCAGGAGTGGGGAGAGGCGGGGAGGAAGTAACTTACCCTCCCTCTTCTCCTGCCTCCTTCTGGCTGAATGAGGGCTGGAAGCGGGGCGGCCGGAAGCAGGGGCGGGGGCTTCGTCATGTGCCCCGCCCCCCTGCACCTCACCCGGGGGAACTGCGTTTGATCCCCCCCGAATCGACCTCTGCCCCTGCACAAGATGGGAAATTCACAAATACCTCCCCTAAACACACACACCCAGTGACCCCTGCTCCACGCCCAGAAGATGACAAAAAACCATCCAGGGTCCCTGGCCAAACTGGACTGGAGAAAAATGGCTTCCTGACCCCAAAGTGGCGATCGGCATTTCCCTGGGCGTGTATGAAAGGGCGACGAGAACTAAGCACTGAGGCAACCCTCCCTGCCCTCCCTCTCA